CCTCGATTGGTTTCACAATTTTACAACTTGACCAAACCTGGCTCTTACTATACAAGCATCTCAGGTCCTGCTCTCACCAGGTAGCATCTTATTATGCTTATATGCCACATTCATTGCGAACCGGCCTAATCTAGCTGTTTCGAGCTATGTGCAGCACCAAAATGGACATCACTTCATCAGGATAATTACTATTTCCCGCATCACGCCAAGTACCTGAACATATTGGGGTTATCTTTGTCCCTCTTGAGATAATCTCGAGTAATTAGATCCTCGATTTGCTTCTTGATCCCCTTGAAATCGAGCTGCAATTGTAAATTTTTTTTTATCAGCACAACCTTGGAAAGCAAGAAAGTAACAGCAGACACCTGTGCACATGGTGTACAATAGGAAAAGAGTCGTGACGAACCTTGAACATGCAGCCTAGCTGCTCGACAAACTCCATAACCTAGAACTTTCCGACTCTTCATGATGCGGACAATTGAGGCATCAATGGCATATCGTCTATCCTTGTCAACATCTTCAATTACTTTCTTCTTCTCATCCACAGGGGGGAGAGGGATCTGATTGATAAGCAACGAAATGCATTAGAAAATATTATTTATTCAAAAGGAGTAAATCAGAATGTTGGTTGGTTGATTTGTTAAAAGGTACCTTGATCCTTCTCATTTTGTCAGTAAACTTGGAGTTGAACTCGAAATGATCAGTGGGAAGGATTGTTTTTGTGCTTGGTTCCTTGTTCAGAATTTTATACTTAGCACATGACAATGAATGCAGAAGTCTGATAACGTCATCATCGGTTAAGTTCAACTGTGTCATGATCTCCGAATAGCTCAGTCTATTAGAGGAATTGAACAGCGATAAGGCCGACGCCTAAAGACCATGAAGACTTGGTATCAGCAAGAATGATTCTTCAACTCCATTTGGCTATTATAGAATAAAGAGGGAAAAAACAAAAAAGAATATGACTAAAATAACCTTTTCGGTCATATTACCTGATACGTCGTGACAATCAATTCCATCGTTTTTGGTTCAAACTTCCCAATAAGGTTACAAGTACCCAAGGAATATATCCAAGTAAGTTTCCTGTGTTTGGTTTTTGTCTGATAGAAGTCCCTGAAAACTTCAACACACTTAATCTAAAGAGGTTTTTGAGGGGAAAGATGGAAGAGAGAAGAAAGAAAATCGAAGTTGGCGATTTTCAGTAAACTTGCAAGTAGCAAACCGAAAAACAAAGAACGAAAAATGAAATGTTTGTGATATTTATGTGCAAACCATCTCAGCAGGAAGGTTGAGATCAAAAGACTTGTAACTTGACCAGAAGCCGGTAGTCAAAACAGTTCGGTCAAATCGATCCCCGGATGTGCATTTGGATTATTGTTCAAGTACTCCTCAAAATTTGTCTGGTTTTCCCTAGCCAATGTCAAGTCTGTCACCTAAAGAACAGAGAAGCATTTCAAAAACTATCTATTGGAGACGTTAAGAAAATACGGAAATGAGAATAGAAGGCGGTTTTCAGTGCACAAGTACTCCTCATCTTCCTTTCTTTTCCTTCTCTATAATGCCAGTCCATCTTCCTTTCTTTTCCTTTACCAAATTACCTATAAAAAAATCTGTCGATCCTACCGCCGACTGGCAAGATCGGCCCTTCCACCGTCTTCGTGCCGCCCCTTCTCCTACTGAATCCTTACCCCTATATTTGCTTCTTTGTTTTTGTTGTGATGGGCTTTTGTTTCCTTTGCTTCTGCTGTGAGGGTTTTTGTTTTCTTTAGTTTGTTGTGGTGGGTTTCTTCTTTCTTTGGTTTGCTTTCATGGGGTTTATGCTTCCATTATTTTCGCTATGGGTTTTTGGTACACTAATTTCACCGTTCCGGTACGCGAATTGGAACAGAACTGAAACGAGATTTGTGGGGTGGAACACGTTCCTACCGCGTTTTGGATCGCAACGTACAGTACGTAGATAGTGGGTTATTGAGCGATTTATGTAATTATGGTTCAACCCTGATATGAAAATGTTGAATGTATCTATGACTGCAGATATACATCCTTCTCTACAAAGAACTTGACCTTGCTTTGAAGATCAACAGTGTCTATAGCAAGAGAGCTTCAAAGCATTTCTCTGATGGTGTTTATCTATGGTATGCATAATTTGGAGAATCGAGTATGAACTGGCATTTTTCGTTACATTGGATTTTTCACTTTTATATGTATTTCTTTTACCTGTAGGTCCCACCATGAAAAACTTGTAATTGTTGATTACCATATTTGTTTTATTGGTGGACTTGATTTATGCATTGGTCGCTATGACACGTTTGAACACAAGGTGGGTGATAATCCTCCCTTAGTATGGCCTGGAAAAGACTACTATAACCCACGGTAAGCTATTAGCAAGCAAATATTCTTCTTAATTTTTCAGAACTTTGTTTAGAACTTGAATTGCATTCATTTTGGTCTTTCATGAAGTTGTCATCGGTTGTTTTATGCCTAATTTATATACACCATTCTGCTTTAGTGTGTTATTGAAGAAATCATTGCAAGTAACTGTTTGGATATTTTTGGCTGATTTTCATACCTCATCTCTCATAATTTTGGGCTTGTGCATCAATAGATATTCTCCAACATTTTGCAGAATTCTATTGGTTCATTTTTATGTAAAGAGATCACGAGTTCAAAACCTTCAAGAGTTTGTGACTGTTTATTGCCCCCCTTTCTTCCTTCCTGATAATTTTCTTGAAAAAAGTGTAATATTTATGGTTAGAAGTAATTATGAGTTGGTTTGAATATGATGCAGTGTAACAAATGAAACCAATTTCATTTTTACAGGGAATCTGAACCTAATTCATGGGAAGATGTAACGAAAGATGAGTTGGATCGAGGAAAATATCCTCGAATGCCTTGGCATGATGTCCATTGTGCACTCTGGAGACCACCTTGTCGTGATGTAGCACGGCATTTTGTTCAGCGCTGGAATTATGCCAAGGTCATATTTATTTAAAATTAATATAGTGAACTGGAACAATTCTATAAGTTTGCTATTTAACAAAGTTCTAGTGTTTTTTTACCAGAGAAATAAAGCTCTATATGAGGAAACAATTCCACTACTCATGCCTCAGCATCATATGGTGATTCCACATTATATGGGAAGAAGCAAAAAGATTGAAATTGAGAGCAAGAACGATTTGGACAACTCAAAAGGGGTCAAAAGACATGATTCGTTTTGTTCTGGATCAGCTGTTGAAGATATTCCTCTATTTTTGCCTCAAGAGGCCGAGTTGGATACTTGCAGTGGGTATCCGAAATCAAAAGCGCTGGACTCTAATGGCAGTAAAAGTGTTTCTTTCGCATTTCAGAAGTCCAAGATAGAACCATCGGTCGCAGACATGCCCGTGAAAGGCTTTGTTGATGACCTTGATTCCTTGGATCTTCTTGTGGAAAGATCTTCGGATGCAAAAAGGCAGCCTGGAAGCAAAGCTGCAGACCCAGAGTGGTGGGAAACACAGGAACGAGATGATCAAGTTGGCTTTGTAAATGAAGCTGAACAGGTCAGTCCCCGAACTTCATGTCGTTGTCAGGTAGGTTGTATTCCCATCAAGACTTTTGCCAGTTTTGCATCTGGCTTCGGATATTCATTTATATTTGTTGCTTTGATGTCCCAAATTTTCAGTCTTATTTCATTAGTAAGTAAAAAATTTGTTGAAAGGAAGTAGTGTCTCTGGTCATGATTTTGGTTCAAGCCATCAGTACTGTGCTTTTGCAGCTATGAAGCTCTTCTGTGCCAAATAAGCTTTAACTTCCACTAATGAAAGGAAGTCTACCTGCAGTTAATTTGGGCTGGCTGCAATTATGATGGAACATGATCTGGTACTTCTATTGTTCAGTTCAACCTTCTTTTTTATTTAAAGAGAGATTTTTCAACATATTAAGTGGTCTGAACTTGTGATAATCTCTCTAATATTCAGATTATAAGAAGTGTCAGTCAGTGGTCTGCTGGAACTAGCCAAATAGAAGAGAGCATTCACTGTGCTTATTGTTCTCTCATTGAGAAAGCGGAACACTTTGTTTACATAGAGGTTTGTTTTGATTTTCTCGATATTTTTATTTTCAGTTCGCTTCGAATCGTGTAATTACATATGGCTTACACTCCTGTTGCTTCATTCTTTGCAGAACCAATTTTTTACATCAGGCCTCTCTGGGGATGAAATTATTCGGAATCGTGTTTTAGAAGCATTATACCGGCGTATAATGCGGGCTTACAATGATAAGAAGTGTTTCAGGGTTATTATCGTTATACCACTCCTTCCTGGTTTCCAGGTTGTACATTTTGGTCACATTTTTTTTATTATTTATATATTTAAACGTTGGAGTTCAGGCAATTGTATTAATAATTGAACTGATTTTTAAGTTTTGACAGGGTGGGCTCGATGACGCTGGTGCTGCATCTTTGAGAGCCATAATGCATTGGCAGTACCGAACCATTTGCAGAGGACAGAATTCAATATGGCATAAGCTCTATGAAGTTCTTGGTCCTAAAAAGCATGATTACATATCTTTCTATGGCCTTAGATCGTATGGTAAACTTTCCGGTCACGGTCCTGTGGCTACAAGTCCGGTATGTCCTTGCACTAATAGTAATATGTTATCTTGCTTATCATTTTGCCGCCTCTATGCAGTTCTCTTTTCCGTGGCATTATATCATGTCGTAGTACTTAACAATGAAAGTTTAGCATGTAGCATGTGCTTGTTTGATGATACATTTGTGCCTACTATTTTTCCAGGTATATGTGCATAGTAAAATCATGGTAATTGACGACTCTGCAGCGTTAATTGAATCTGCTAATATCAATGACAGAAGTTTACTCGGCTCTAGAGATTCTGAGGTACCACTTCATTTCCGGATTAGTTGATTCATGGATGGAATACTTCCACCATTTTTCTCTCTTTAGCAAAGTTATTACAGATACTGTATTACTTCTCCAAGAAATTTGATGTCGATTAACATTCAGATGGGAGGAAATCCACGGGAGGCTGGAAAATTCACATTGAGTCTGCGCCTCTCATTATGGTCTGAACATCTCGGTCTTCGTAAAGGAGAGGTTTGACAGCCCTCATCAATTTCCCCCCCCCCCCTCCCTAATTTACATTCATATTCAGCTGATATATTTGTTCTTCCTTTTCACCTCAGATAAATCAAATAATCGATCCCATAAGTGATTCAAGTTATAAAGATAAATGGGATGCGACTGCGAAGGTAAGAACTGGATTTGTATGTTTCTTCAGTACTTTCATATTTTATATTCAGGAATTGTCTGATTAAAAGAATCAGATGATACCATGATTTAAGAACCTATGTTACTTGGACTCGGATGCGAGTGTCGGGGTAGAGGATGTATCCAATATGGGCATGGTCCAATTTTTTATGTATGTACCTATAATTGGAGGATTTTTTGGAGGTCACATTCCCATATATATGTGTCGGACAGGAGTGCCGAACACAATTTCAGAAAAACTGAGTCGAAGCATTGCTAGTTGCTACTGCACAATGACCTGATACATTCATATTATGAAACAAATGAATACAACAATCTATCAGGATGTCTTTTCTTGTGTCCCAAATCTTCTTTCTTTCCTCCTTTTCTCTTTGGTTATTATACTCGACTCGATGGGCGTTAACCTGCAGGCTTGCGCTCCGACAAAGTATCACCTTTTGGAAGGAAAGACTTGGTCACACTGCAATCGATTTAGGAATAGCCCCAGAGAAATTAGAATCATACCACAACGGAAATATCAAACAAACGGGTCCGATGGATAGGTTGAAGTAAGTACGTGGACATCTTGTTTCTTTCCCCTTGGATTTCATGTGGAAAGAAGATTTAAGGCCTGTGTTTAATGAGAGTGAATATTATGCATCTCCCCAAGTTTTTCATTAAGTTGAGAGAAGCACTCGCGTCCATTTGCAAACGACACCTCACCTGTTTTTTCCCGCAACAAATTTGCACGGAAATCGTCATATACATATGTATGTACATATCGATATCGTCATTGTTAGAATATTAAGATGTGAATGTATGTATGTATGAATGAGAGTGTGAGTGCATGCATAAGACGGTTATAACTGCTTCTGTTAAGGAGTTGTTAGTAATTAGTTCAGGCTGTTATAACTGCTAAGCCAACTAAGTAGTGCAAGTCTGTATATATAGCTAGTTGATTCATAGCTAGTTGATTCATTGCAAATGATATATACGTTTTCTGTACAAATTACCACTAAAGCTTGAATCTCAACATGGTATCCTTCGCTAGACGATCTGGGCAGTTTTCTCGTGCTCTCGCTGCTTAAAAAAAAGAAAGGTTCATCATGGATGTTGATCGGTTGCCTTCAATGGAGACTGTGTCGAGGAATGCAAAGACATTCTCCAATAAAAAGGTTAATGTCATTCTTGATGAGGCAAATTTTCTGCTATGGAAGCAGTAAGTATTGATCTCTGTTTGTAGTCACAGATTGGAAAGGTTACTCACAGGCTCGATGTTTGTTCCATCACAGACAGTGCTCAATGAAGTTGGTAAAGATGTACCGAATGAATTGTATGAAGAGTTCGTTGTGCAGGACAGTGCTCTAGCGTCCTGGTTGTTGTCAACAATTAGTCCTCAATTGTTGCCTCAATTTGTGGGTACTGAAACTGCCTCAGCAGTCAGGAACACGGTGCTCCAGTTCTTCTCAAATCGATCCACAACTGTTGTCATTAGTTTACATTACAAGCTCTAGTCACTAAAAAAGGGAGATGAATCAATGCGAGTGTACCGTACTAGAGTTAAAGAGGTATGTGATGCTCTAGCATCATGTGGAAGTGTTGTATCTCAGGCAGTGCAAGTTGCTAGTATCTTGAAGGGATTGCCTCGCGAATATCAACCTTTTGTGGTGGTCATAACTACTATGTGCGAATCAGTGTCACTTGATGCTATTTACACCATGTTGTTGGATGCTAAAACTCAACTAGTTGGGGTTTGTGATCCACTCGAGTCACTTCCTATGAGTGCTCATGTTGCACAAGGACAAATATCGAGTAAAGCTATTGATCAATCTGAGTGTTCTGCAGCATCTCGTCAGACGTATTCGTGTGGTCGATCAACTGGTCGAGGACGGGGTAGAGCTCGGTTACAGTGCCAGCTGTGTGGAAAAACCAGCCATCTGGTTGATCGATGTTGGCATCGGTTTGATGAAGACTTTCCTGGAGTTACAACTAACAATAATGCTTACTCCAAGAATGAGTCAAGTACTGCTTATTATGCTGCCAATAATAACAGAAATGATGTTGGTTGTGATTGTGGTGCTAGCCAAAAGTCTAGTTTTAATAAATCACAAGCAGGTCGTGAGCAGTGGATTGTGGACTCGGGAGCCACTCATCATGTCACCTCTGATGACATGAATGTTTCTCAACCTATGGATTTCAACAATCTAGGTAAATTAACTGTTGGTGATGGTGTTGCATTAGAGATTAAATCTGTTGGGAAATATTCTTTGTACACACCCACTCGTGTACTGTTACTAACTGATTTACTGCAAGTACCAAGAATAACCAAAAATTTATTATCGGTGTCAAAGCTTGCTAGGGATAACAACATTTTCTTTGAATTCCATGCACATGAGTGTTGCATTCGTGATAAGAAGACTGGTGTAATGTTGCTTCGAGGGAAGGAAGATGGCGGTTTATACCCTTTTGCACTTGATTCATCAATTTCAGATAGTTCTAAGGCAGCAGCCTATGCAACACAATTCTCTACGACTGTGTATGATTTGTGGCATCAGCGTTTGGGACACCCCTCGCATGAAAGCCTAGTAAAAGTGTGTAAGGAATTGAATATAATCTTGCCTTCCAGTATTAATAAAACGTGTGTTGCCTGTCATCTAGGAAAAAACCATAAATTACCTTTTTTTGCATCTACAACTGTGTATGAAACTCCTTTCCAGTTAGTATTTACAGATCTTTGGGGACCTTCACATGTAGTCTCGAATGGCTACAAGTACTATGTGACATTTGTTGATGAGTGTACCAGACATTCATGGTTGTATTTATTAACAGACAAGGCTCAAGCAGTTAATGCATTTGAAATGTTTCAGCAGATGGTTCTGGTACAGTTTGATCTACCTATAAAGGTTGTTCAAAGTTATTGGGGAGGGGAGTATCGCAGGCTGTCAAATTGTTTGTTGAGGAAAGACATCACACACAGGCTTACATGTCCACATACCTCGAAGAAAAATGGAGTGGTCGAACGTAAGCATCGACATGTGATAGAACTTGCTTTAGTGCTACTTACCCAAGCGTCAATGCCTGTTAAGTTTTGGGCATATACAGTGGCTACTGCAGTACACTTGATAAACAGACTCCCTACAAGAGTGTTGCAAGGAGTTTCACCATTTGAGAAACTCTATCATAAGAAACCTGATTATGGGCAGTTACAAGTGTTTGTGTGTCTTTGCTTTCCTCATTTGAGACCCTATTTGAAACACAAATTAGATTTCATGTCATAGCCTTGTACGTTCTTAGGCTACAGTATGCAACAAAAAGGTTTTCAATGTCTTTCTGAAGATGGTAGAATCTACACAACGAGACATGTGGTGTTTGACGAAATGCAGTTTCCCTTTGCAGGGAATAATGGTCATACGGCTGTCACATCTAACATGAAGAGTTGTTCTAGCCCACTACAGGTTGTGACTGATGTAACTAAGTTGCTTAGTGAAAGAGGAGTTGAAGAAGCTGGTCATACTTCGATGGTCAACAGTAGTGGCAGCTCTAGTAGTTCAACTGGTAATTTGCCTGGTGTCAATTCTGGATATGGACTGATAGAGAATACATGTGGTGTGCAAGATGTTGAGTATCAAGCATCAGGTAAATTTTCGCATACTGGTCAAGATACTGGTGGTGATAAGCAAGATCAAGCTGTTAGTACTCAGGGTAATGATCAAGGCTTAAATCAATGGCATAATGTTGTTAACACAAGAACTATGACTGATGCTCAAGTAAATAGACATCCAATGTTGACGAGAAGTAAATGTGGCATATTCAAGCCAAAAGCTTATATGACTGCAGCTGTTGATGAAGTCCCAGGTGACATTTATGAACCAATCAAAGTCTCCAGCTGGAAAGAAGCTGTTCAAGCTTAAATTGCTGCACTGCAAAGGAATAATACCTGGTCGCTTGTCAAATTGCCTGCAGGGTGTGAGATTGTTGGCTGCAAGTGGTTGTTCAAAGTTAAAAAGAAGCCTGATGGATATGTTAAGAGACACAAAGCATGTCTTGTTGCTAAAGGATACTCTCAAGTTACTGGTTGTGACTTTAAAGAAACTTACAGTCATGTTGTTAAGTTTCCTACATTGAATGCAGTGCTTGCATTTGCGATTGCAAAGAACTGGCCTTTGAGACAAATTGATGTGAACAATGCATTTTTAAATGGTGATTTGACCGAGGACGTATTCATGCAGCAACCACCTAGATTCGAGGAGTATGCTGATGATGGTAGTTTGCTTGTATGCAAGCTTAATAAAGCGTTGTATGGATTGAGACAAGCACCAAGAAATTGGCATGACAAACTAAAAGCTAGTTTAATTCGGTTGGGCTTTAGTGAATCTCGAGCTGATGTGTCACTTTTTGTTAAAAATGATGAAAGCTGATGTACATACGTGCTTGTTTACGTGGATGATATTATCCTTACAGGTGGTTCATCTCGTGTCATTGATGGTGTGGTGCAAGCTTTGAACCAGGAGTTTTCTTTAAAGGATTTAGGGAAGTTGTCTTATTTTTTTGGTATTGAAGTCAAAAGGAGTACGAAATATTTGGTGTTGTCTCAAAAGAAGTACATAATTGAACTGTTAGAGAGGACAAATTTGTTGCATGCCACACCAACAGCTACCCCGATGGTAGGATCACCAAAGTTGACTCAGGAAGCTGGATAATTGTTAGCTAATGCACGAGAGTATGGAAGCATTGTTGGTGCCTTGTTATATGTATTTCATACACGACCGGATGTGGCGTTTAGTGTGAACAAGGAAGCTCAGTATATGCATGCCCCACGTGAGTTTCATCTGGCTGCAGTAAAGAGGATACTTCGATACCTAGCTGGAACGTTTAACTATGGACTTACATTTTCTGGCACTGGCAGTAAGTCATTTGAAGTAGTGGCGTTTGTTGATGCTGATTGGGGTGGTAGCCTTGATGACAGGAGATTAGTGTCTGGACATATGGTATTTCTTGGTGCATGCCCTGTAGTTTGGTGCTCGAGGAAACATAAAACTATCTCTAGAACCATAATGGAGGCTGAGTATCGAAGCATTGCTGAGGCTACTGCTGAAGTTACATGGGTGAGTTCGTTATTGGGTGAACTAGGAGTAGGGATGGAAATGGGCCGGGTTCGGGCCGGGTATTGGTCCCCCCGTCCCCGTCCCCATTTAAAAAATCGATACCCATCCCCGTTTAAAAAACTGCGGGGATTTAAACGGGGATCCCCGTCGGGTAATCGGGAAAAACCGCGGGGAAATGGGTATCCCCGTTTAGCATAAACAGTTATTTAAACGAGTATTTGGCCAGGTATTGGGTCGGGTATTGGGCCTGGAATCGGGCCGGGTATATATATATATATATATTTAAATTAAATATATATATTTTTATTTAAATTAAATTTATTAATATTATATATATATAAAAATAATAATTTTTAATATTTATCGGATCGGGTATCGGGGCGGGTAATCGGGGTGGGTAATCGGGGCGGGGATTATCAAACTCGTCCCCGTCCCCGTCCCCGTTTAAAATAAATGGGTTTTCCCCGTCCCCGTCCCTGTTTATCATCCTCGAACCCGACTCGTTTAATTCGGTTTTCGATTTTCCCCATCGGATTCGGGTTTTTTTGCCATCCCTAACTAGGAGTAGCCAACAGAAATACTCCTGT